CATCGTACTGTCGTGCATCGCCATCGTACTGTCATACTGTCACCATCGTATTGTCGTACTGTCACCATCGTACTGTCATGCTTCGCGTTTTCCGTCCTCAGAGAAAACGCGATGGCCCTAACAGTACACCTTTCGAAGGACAATTCATGTTTGTTTATAGGGGAGTAAGACTCTCGATTCATATATCAAGGAATAGGGGTTGGAATTGATCGGAGTAAAGTAGCTTAAATATCATTGAATAGCTGCAGTTGATAAGCTGGGCACCATTTGACAGACGGGGTACACCATTATGTAAAGGTAATCTTAAAACAAGGTGGGTGCCAAATACTTTCTTCAATTTTCCAAACCTTAAATAACATATTTCACTTAAATTTTCACCGATGTATTAAAAATAAGATTAATTTTAAACTACAAAACAAAACACACAAAAATCAAGCCCCAACTTAGGATGCTGCGTAAATGGGATAAGAGTAAGGGGCAGACACATAATTATGACATTTGCCGTCTGTATAGAGATATCATTTAATGTCAGCGAAATAAAAATGACTCATTTACGCTCGTTCATTAATGACCTGTTTCATGCGACGTCTCATAACTTAAATACTTCGATTTTATTGCACGATTTTAATATATATTCCCCAAATGTTGCTGAACTGTATTTTTCATTTGTTTTACCTACATAAAGAACGATACATTAGATTTAAAGGTAATGCAATCTGTGGAAACAACGGACGGACGCACCAACAGGCTTTAAGTTTACCAATTAATGCGTTTTTGACATTTCATACCTCCATGCACTTTAACCTTAAAACTTACATTCCAAATATCAAAAAATTGGGGTCACTTTTCAACGTTGAATTACGACCCGGGGTCATTTTTCAACACCTTCACATTACTGATCAAAATTTAACGGGTGGGTCAAAATTCAACGTTGAGAATTGACCCGTGACCGTTGAGAAATGACCCAGGGTCAATTCTCAACGTTGAAAAATGACCCTCAGGGTCATTTCTCAACAGGGTCAAAATTTAATGTTACACCGGCATCTACCATGTATAAGTGCTTGACATTTGTCGGGTGCATCTCAAAGATACCGTCAAAATCATCTGGAAAAAGAAACCACAAAGAGTAATACATTTTCAGATAAGAATATATCAACATAATGCACATTTTGCAGGTATTCTCTCCCATTTCTGCTAGCAAAATTTTATGTGCAAATTATGTCATAATTTATTATTTTTCTCGAGCGAAATTTCATGTGTAGATCATGGGAGAAATCAGTTTTTTTCAAGCGATTATGACAAACGAAATAAAAACTGACCACTGGTTCTACTGTTTGGATCCCCATCAACATCATCGAGGTCTGGCGCCGTTTTCTTCAGTGGCGTGAATGGAGACAGGGGGTAACTTTGTTGTAGAGACAATCCCCTCATGAAGTTGTGGATCACACCTGCACGCCCTGCACGCGTACTTAGGAGCTCGAACTTCTTACTGTAATGTAGAATATGATAAGGGTTAACAACAATATAGTATTAAATCGCTTCAAAGCATTTATTTATTGAATCGCCGTTTTTGCCACGGTAATGCTATTGGTGATGCCGGTTCTGTGCCGGTGACGCCCTGGTAATGCACCTATGCTTCCTGTTCAAGTTTATGAGAATAAAACTGACTGACCACGTTGACATCAGTCATTTGGTAAAAAGACAGCAGAGATGCCATCCTAAGGAAAGGGGAAAGTTAGAAAAAAACTGTGTCTACAACACCTTCAGAGATTGGGGTACCTGAAGCTGAAAATGCACCAGCTGATGAATTTTTCCTTCTCTCATTTAACAAATTGTCCATGCTCGTGTTCCTTCTCTAAACAAAATGATCCAAAGTAGCACTACACGTTTATATATTCCTGTTCTTTAAATTTAGTGTATCGGCATGAGGTCGTTACACCACCGTCTATCATCGTTGTATAACCGTACTTGTCTGCAATATCCGGGACATTACCGGAGCGTTGTTGCCAGTGACCTCAATGTACCCTGGCTCTACCGTAGCTCTGCCTGTTTTACCGTGGCAACATCGTGTCATCACCGGGACTTTGCCGTTTGGACATTGATTGACACGCATCCCGGTTTACTACGATTTGTCACGGTATGGATGCAGTATAGATACGGTGGTTTCCCGGCAGTTCCCTGTTCAGCCCCGGTTGTATTAAACATTTGAAGATAATCTTATTTGTATTTATTTATTGTTGACCATCTGGGCAAAGCATGTAGATGTATATTAATTATTTACAAACCGGAGGAAAATGCATAAATACTAGTCAGTTCTAGAAGCAAACCTGGTTCTTTGTGTGTGCGGCGTAAACACATGGGACCACGGTCACATTCGAAATAATCTGAGTCTTTACTTTATTATTAAGATCGGTTCGATTAGGAGAACCTGAGTGCCAATTGCTGACTTTACTATGCATGTAAGGAAGCAAGTTTATAGTGAAAATGTTATGTTAAAGTTATCTATAAGTTTTATAATAGTCTATCAATAACTGGAACTACAAGGAAAAATACAAGCATGCCGACACAAATATGTAATGGATACAGTACGAGTTTTCCTTCAAAAGTGTCTTCTTACAGACATAAGAAGACAATTTTGAAGAAAAAACGAGTAACTGTATCTGACTTATACGACGTTTTATTGTAAAGAACCGATATATTAATAAAAACATTTAATTACAAATAGATCTATGTATGTTCACGTTGAAAATATAAAACTATAGAAAATATTTGCAAGGCCTTTAAGCTTTGGGCAGTGCAAGGTGTAGGTAAATTGTATTCGCACGGAACTTTCGTGCACTTAGTCAATCGGACATAATTCACTTTCATTTATGATAAACAATGTTATATAAATGGCTGCCATCAATTAACAGAATGTCAAATTTATGTCAGTCAACATTGAAATCGTCTCTAACTTGTTTTGCGTCAATGTTATATGGATTACGTTTTGGACCCCAAATTTAGTAAGTTTCCTTATTTACATACTTACCTTAACGCAATGTTAAGCCGTTTATGGCAGTTGATTGTTGTGTGTGTGGGTCGGTGTGTGCAGTAAATGTCACGTTAATGTTGTTTTTATAGTACCATCTTCCAACGAACAACTGTTAGTTTCGTCAATGCTAGAATCAACAGTTACTTTAGTCCTGGACATGGCCATCCAATTTCTCGATAAACTGGTTATTCTCATGAGATGTGCACTACTTTCCATCGGTTTCTATAGTGTCCTGTTTGAAGCAGTTAAATATCGCCTGTTAAGATTGACTAAATCTCTTGTTTAAGTTCAACTATTCGACAAATTCAATGTTGAATGGCGCGAAAAGTATTTTGTGAGAACGTAAAATCTTGCTACTTACCTATAAAAATACAGAAAGGCAGACAAAACTTTAAGAAAAAATCGAGCATGTCAATAGCAGTCCTTTCATTGTCCCAAGAAGGACACCGTATATTTCAACTGCACTAAATCCACGTGTAACGTAACGGTTATTTAAAAGTGTATTCTTACTATTGTGGCCTGTTTGGAACACTTTTGTGCGTCGTGTTGGCGCTAGCCAAACGGCGCGTTGTCGGATTTTCGTCTTGTCCTGTCGCTAACGATGTACGCCAAACGGCGCGTTGTCGTTCGGCGTGTTGTCGCGATGTCATATTGTCGCTTGGTTCAAATCGAAAGATTGGCTTAATATAAGCAAAGGGACAGGGTGACATCGCGACAACACTCCGCATGACACGCTGCATGACAACGCGCCGTTTGGCGTACATCGTTAGCGACAGGACAAGACGAAAATCCGACAACGCGCCGTTTTGCTAGCGCTTCGCTAGAGACAGGACGACAATACAAGAGCTCGACAACTCGCCATTTGGGGCTTTGTCGTGTTGTCGCTAGCAAAAAGACGAAAATTTGCTATCGACAACGCAACGCGCAATGTACCAAATCAGCCACCATATCTTACAGACGTAAGAAGATACTTTTTGAATAACTCTGCCGGTGGGGGGGGGGGGTTATAGTCGTTTAATAATACAGGGAGGATAACTCAAGCACATAATGGTGACTGATTTGGTACGCTTTTGCGCGTCTAGTTGGCGCTAGCGACAACACGACAAAGCGGCAAATTTATACATAAATTAGATTAATTTTACAAAGAAATGAAAAATATCTTTGGAGAAAAACTTGATCCTCGATTCAGCAGCTACCTGTCTTAAGCAGCCAACATGACTGCATCCCTTGGCTGACTGATTAAGACAGTTTTGACTGTATATATATTAGTGTTTTCTTTATGTCTCAGAAGTTTTAGATTTTCAGACACCCCTTTACTGACTGTTTGTTCTGTGGTGAACATATGTGAACTGTTTTGATCCTTGAAGATCGTTCAGTACATTATTGTTGTGTCTGTGGTATTTTCAGTTTTAACTATTTGGCATTTTCTAGTTGTGTGATTCCAATATTCCTTATTGAATAATGTTGAATCACCATAAGGATATACTGCCTGCTTTTTAACTATGTCTTTTGATGTCTTATCTGTGATATGCAGGCTTCATAATCTCTGATCCCCTTTCAAAATTCCATTTTGTTTAGTTCCGCCCATACTTTTCTCGTTATAAGGGCACACGCTTTCTATAACTTGGGGACCATACGCCGGTTTTCATAGAATGGCGCAGAAGTGTCACATTGAAGGTTCCATGATAACCGCGGTATAAAAGTTTACCATTTCATGTTTAAATGTTGAATTCTGCTTAAGCCGTTGCTAGGGGGCATGGACGGTAGTTTGCACTTGCTCAATCAAGCCGAGCCTGCAACATTTTAAATTTTGCCGTTTTGGGCTTTATTTAGGGATTCTTTTTTCCCTATTTGACTTACTTAGGTTACTTATTGAATCATCATTAAAGGTACAACTAAAATGGACACACTCATAAATAATGAGTTTCAAGTATATGTTGATTGATAAAAACGAATTGTAAAAAAATCATAAAGCATGGCTCATTTTTAATATTCAAAACAGTTTAATTTATTTTAACAATTCAATAAAACTGAATTTCAAACATAATAATCATTTACTCGGGTACACATGTATCTGTATTGCACAGCATATTACTTTTGTACACCTGACAATAATTTTTATTTTCCAAACACAATTCTTACTCACATTAAGCAAAGTAACCTATAACTTAATACCCTTAGCTGAAGAATTATTTTTATTCAGATACAACTCTGAATCGCATAGCAATATTCTCACTCACATAGTCATATTCTCACTCAAATATCCATATTCTCACTCATATAACCATATTCTCACTCACATAGTCATATTCTCAATCAAATATCCATATTCTCACTCACATAGCCATATTCTCACTCACATGGTCATATTCTCGATCATATAGCAACATTCTCACTCACATAGTCATATTCTCACTCACATAACCATATTCTCACTCACATAACCATATTCTCACTCACATAGTCATATTCTCACTCACATAGCAATATTCTCACTCAAATATCCATATTCTCACTCACATAACCATATCCTCACTCACATAACCATATTCTCACTCACATAGCCACATTCAAGATGCCCATTTATATAGCCATAGTCTCACTGCATGTTACTATTCACAAAACCAATTCTTACTTAAAATAGGTATTTTACCATTTCTTATGGTCATTTTCTTACTTTACATAGTTATATTCCCAGTCATGTTTCATATAGTCATTTACTCACTCACATAACCATATTCTTACCCAATATAGCATTTCTATACCACATAATTTTAGTCATATAATCATTTGATATAGCTCTCTGACTTCTTTCATATGAAACAAACGCTTTACATTAGACGCTCAGAAATGCCCTAGTTCACATTTACACATATTTAATGAAACACATTATACAACAGCCCCTATAAAATAAAGCATAATAAAAATCATTTAAAATGAAATGACAAATTTTGATCAGCCTTAAAAAGAGTCGCTGTATTTCCGATTACAAACAGTCAACAAAATGTACAGCAAGACCACTACCTCCTTGGTGGAAAGAACAACAAAGTTAGATAACTGTACGATGATGTCCATGAATAACAGTTACCACCCCTGGTATTTTTATTCACAGTCCAATTATACTATTATGGAATGATAAGGAAGTATAACACTGCGAGTGACGGACTCTTTTTACATAAGTTCACCCTCCTTGTATTCTGTGTAATCGTCGAGTAATTCAAAGTTCAATTACACATCTCTTAGATAAACTATGCACACTTGTAATGATATAAAGCATACATTTCAGCCCTAGGTCATCATTCATCTAGGGGATGGCGTCTGTGCTGCAGTATAGAATTGTGATTCATCATCATCGTCTATAGAGAAGCACCTGTTGTCTTGCCATTGTCGAGCTTTCTCCGGTTGTAATGGTTTTCTTCTTCCTGGAATCTCTCGCTTTTCCGTTTCACTTTCTATTTCTTGTTCTGTTGAAACTTCAGTAGCAACTGACAAAGCGCCGCTCCCAAATTGTTTCTGGTTCTTTCGACTAATAGCTTGTTGTCGCCGAAAACTTGGCTGCGCGTTTGATTCGTTTCTGTTTACTGTTCCATTTTTGGGTTCTTCGGTGAATGTAATGTTCTCCTCTTCGATGGATTTATCAATTCCTTTACGTGCATCACTGACACTATAACGTCCACTCCTGATTCTAGATAAGAATCGTGAAAGTCTCTTTTTGTTTTTCTGAGACACTCTTCTCAATAACGGGACCTCTTCCAGACTGCACAGACACCTCGGCGGCTCTGCGCGTTTCTTTTCAACCACTTGAGCAATTGCAGTTTTGATTTGTTCAACATTTAATAACGTATTAAACTCCGTTAACTTTGATAATCTCTCAAATGCAAGGTGTGAATATTTAAAGTTAAATGTAGAGTAAGGCGTGGTAGGATCATCAAATATGTCAAAGTCCGCAAACTCTTTTTCTTCTTTAGTTCGTCGTCGGACTCCTAAAAATAAAGAACATGTTATATCAGTTGTGTTGCTGTTACTGTATTCTATTTGGCTGGTTTTAAAGTCATGCCGACTTGATTAATAACAAACTATGGGTATTGTGCAACTTTTAGCCATGTTTTATGTTTTTTTTATTTTTTCTGTCGTTTACTTTTAAATTTTTAATGGATGTGATTTTTTCTGATATTTCGATCTCTTATTAAAACAACCTCATGTTAACATCTACATCACATAATATTTGAATGACTAGTCATGTTTTGAATAAGGATCTGCTAATATACATATATCTTGGTACAGCAAACAAATTGAGATTCTGGTCAGACTACACGGATGTCTAAACTAGATACTAGATATAAAGGCAAATAATCAGTTCCGATCTGTGCTAAATAGTTATCAAAACATTAAAAGTTGAAGAATTTACAACTTTATTAAATCTGTCGAATTATCAAAGTATGTTATCTATGTATTCCCAGGTTATTATTTCGTTTTAGTTAATAATATTCATAGCGCGTTTCATATTTTTGTAGGTCTATAGTACTTTGCATGTTGTTGTAAGCTTCTTTTTTTTTTTTTGGTTTTTTTTTTTGTTTTTTTTGTTATACTGTATGTTTTCACTATACTAAGTATATTGATAGTACATGTATGAAGATAATTGTAATCAACCACATACATGTGGATCTTATTTTGACAATTTACATTTTTTTAAAAAAGACTTGAGCAATTAACAACTTACGTAATAAGATTCACAATACATTACCTGGTTTTACAAACTTTCTGAATTCAATATTGACGAGACAAAAATGAAGGACAACGGGGCAGTGCGGGTCTGTTGGGTGTTTAAAAATGTACATTTCCTTTAAACCTTCTCTGTCAAACACTGATGTGTCAATAGGAGGAAACGATACTTTATGCTTCTTCGCCCAGTTGGCTGCCAGTAACAACTCCTGAAAAAATACGTAGGTTTTTTTAAATAAACTAAAGATGTAGATACATAGTAAACACAAATAAAAAAATCTTGAAGACGAGAAATGTCTTAAAATTAAAATAAACGCTTGGCTTAAGAAGAAAAAGAAGAAGACAAAGAAAAAAGGAGAAGACAAAAAGAAGAAGAAGAAAACAGAGTTGAAAATCATATCATTTGCTCTACTTTTCCACGTCTGGCTTGGATAAAGTCAAACAGAGAGCTCTAAATCAAAGTCGGAGGACGCCTTTGATGTAATTTAAAGCGGTATAAAACTTACACTCTTACATTATATAACTTCAAGATATGTATGAAAGTCTAAACGGTATATTTTGTGTGCAAGTCAATTATAAAATACCTTGAAAGGTGGTGTGGTATCGCTAGGTCTTGCACTGAAGTCGAACGACAAAATGATGTCGACCTCCCGTTGCGGCCGTAATACAACCGGGTATGGAGAATTAAAAGTGAGACCGGCATCTACCATGTATAAGTGCTTGACATTTGTCGGGTGCATCTCAAAGATACCGTCAAAATCATCTGGAAAAAGAAACCACAAAGAGTAATACATTTTCAGATAAGAATATATCAACATTATGCACATTTTGCAGGTATTCTCTCCCATTTTTGCTAGCAAAATTTTATGTGCAAATTATGTCATAATTTATTATTTTTCTCGAGCGAAATTTCATGTGTAGATCATGGGAGAAATCAGTTTTTTTCAAGCGATTATGACACAAACGAAATAAAAACTGACCACTGGTTCTACTGTTTGGATCCCCATCAACATCATCGAGGTCTGGCGCCGTTTTCTTCAGTGGCGTGAATGGAGACAGGGGGTAACTTTGTTGTAGAGACAATCCCCTCATGAAGTTGTGGATCACACCTGCACGCCCTGCACGCGTACTTAGGAGCTCGAACTTCTTACTGTAATGTAGAATATGATAAGGGTTAACAACAATATAGTATTAAATCGCTTCAAAGCATTTACTTATTGACTTAATGGAGTTACTCCAATGACACTTTTCGTTAAGTAAGTAAATAAAATGGTTTACAAAATAAAAGAAAATGAATCTTACTCATTTTTCAATCTGGACAAAACCATTATGTTTCGGGGAAAAAACAATATGTACTGACATGAGGGAACAGTGCCGACCATAATCAGTCGGCAGCACACATGCGCAGGTTGGAATTGGTTGATTCGCCAGTTGTTTATGGGTGAAGAAATTGAGAGTGAAACTAAAGATTAAAATTGAAACTTTCAAATGAAATTTATAAGAAAGCCATATATTTGCTTGTAAAAACATTTTCTTATTACTAAACTCAAATTATCATACTAAGGTACCACAAATTTACCGGTGGACATTCCACAAACAACCGGGACAATATTTTTATACTAAATAAGAAACAGATATATTCGACTTACTTTTCAAAAACGCCTTTTAAAAAATCTGACCAATATCCTTTTTGTTTAGTCCTTCGTGTTGACATCAAGCGTTTAGGAGCCCTGAAGTTGTTTGGTAATGTTTGAGACTTTCCATTCGATGCTAAACTTCTCTCACTAAAAATAATAAACATTAATAGAATAAATTTCAAATTTCTTGTTGTTTTTTTATGTATCGAATTCTGTTATATACACGTCTCAAAATCCAATTAGAGTTGCTTCCCTTTAACTATTCAAATTCTTTTAAACATAAATTATCAATGTTTGCCTGTTTTCTGATTTTTTACTTTTATTTTCGGCTGTCCTAGATAACTAACAAGGTATATAACCATTTTTTCCGCAAGTGACCGACTACTTTTCCCACTGTCTGAATCTGACAGCGGCGAGAGACAAATGACCATCCGACATAAATGTCCGAGATCAACTACCACAAAGAAATTGGACCAGCAACCCCTAGTTATCTAATCCGATCATCTCTCTATTAAGTTAAGGTGCTAGTGAGTATAGTCAAATTCGATTTTTTTAAAAATCGGAGGAAAGAATGGTTTGGCTATCAAGTCATTGGTTCCGAAGTATGGCATGCAATACATGTACATTCACAATTATATTCGGTCAACGTTAAATAACGGTTTCACAGAGTTTTGTGATGCAATATTGTCTTGAACTTTCATATTGCAGTTCAACATTTACACTGGTTTTACGCTATTTTGTTTTATTTGATATCGCTGTATGAATGTTGTATAAACACCCCTCCCCTTCCACCTCAGTTTTAAGTTTATATATATATATACTGCTGTTCTGCTGTTAAAAGCCATTTTGTAAACAATGGACAAACCAAATTTCAACAACAGTAGCAGCAACAATAATAACGAACAAGTTTTTGGCTTGCCTTAAAGATGGTGATGCTTTTGATTGCGGTATTTCACGGTTTGGGAGTGTATCTGCCTTGGACAGTTTAATCATACTAGGTCGGTTGTTCGGAGCTATTTCTTCTGCGTCATCAAATTCGCCCTCATCACTGCTATCACTACTCTCATCTTGTTCGTTTTCTTCAAGTTGTTTCTCTGAAAATAGTCCGTCAGAATGAACATTATTTCCAAGTCAAATCTAAAGGTTGTTAATTCTCTCTTTAGTTCGTGAAAACGCGACAATATTTATACGGAAATGGATATGGGTGATGGAGGGGGATATTACGATAACTCACCGTATTCCAAATACATTAAATACCGAACAAGTCGAATTTGCACGAACTGGTGATGGTTAGGATGTCTTTCTATATATACACGTAGAATTAACATATATTAGAAAAGGGACGAAGCTTTTGCCTCCCACATATACTTTTATCGCATGACATTAATCGTTTTCCGACAAAAATAACGATTATTTTAAGCACGTTAAATAAAGAAAGTATGTGAATTTACCATTTTCCAATATTTTCCGCTTTAAATAACATCTGATAAAAAGGACCTAACAATTACCGTTTCATAGAAAGTCATACATTAATCTCGCATCAGATATGGTATAATATTTGTCACGGATTCGTTATACGTAACCATTTCTTAGCTTTAATTTAAGTATATATTAGATGATACTGTAAGTCAGATCCTATATGTCCGCTTTCACATTTGGTTTTATTGAGTAATAAACACTGATAAAATATATAGATAAAACACAATTTTAAGTGAAACTATATTTTATTTTTATTGGTAACACTTACGATTAACTTAAAAATGAAATCTGTAAACCGGTAGATCTATTATTTTATATCTCTAAACTATGTGAAATATTACTTGTCAAGTTCTATAGCAAATAAGCCTTATTCATATTTCGAACCAACTGGAAAATATGTTTAATATAAAGTCGGACGAATCGTCACAAAAGTGGAGCGAGTCGTTTTTAAGTTATATATATATGGCGAATCGTCATTGGGACGAATCGTTATATGAGCCGCGTCACGACAAAACCAACATAATGCGATTGCGACCAGCATGGATCCAGAACAGCCTACGCTGACCAGGATCCATGTTGTTCGCTTACAAACCCTATAACAAGTAGAGAAAATGACAGCGAACAGCAAAGATCCTGGTCTGGATCCATGCTGGTCGCAAACCCATTATGTTGGCTTTGTCGTGACGCGGCTTATATTATCCGGTAAATATATGTTTATGGTAAGATTCGTGTCTTAGTACCTACCCATTTCAAGTCTTATCATTTCTACCGGATCCAACTTTCTGTTGTCTTCAAGCAATCTTTTGAACAATATACAGAATGCGCTCCCCCATATGCCTGCAATACAGTATGTAAAAATTATAAAAAATTGTAATCAGGATCTTTTAACTAGATCTATTTAAAAGACCTTGTTGTTATGTACAGTAGGAACGTATTGTTTTAAATCATGATAAACTAAATCTTACAACGAACGACAATTATTAAGTTGACACGAACGACAAGTCTTAAGTTGACAGCTTACAACGAACGACAAGTCTAAAGTTGACACGAACGACAACTCTTAAGTCGACACGAACTACAACTCTTAAATTGACACGAACGACAACTCTTAAGTCGACACGAACGACAACTCTTAAGTCGACACGAACTACAACTCTTAAATTGACACGAACGACAACTCTTAAGTTGGCACGATCGACAACTCTTAAGTCGACACGAACTACAACTCTTAAATTGACACGAACGACAACTCTTAAGTCGACACGAACGACAACTCTTAAATTGACACGAACGACACCTTTAAAGTTGACATGAACGACAACTCTTTAGTTGACACGAACTCTTTTAGACTTTTAGACACGGACAACAACTCTGTCAGAAACTTTACGCCAAAGATTATAAAAACGAAAAGTTATAGATTAATATCATGCTACCACGCTTCCTGTTCTTTTGCAAAATTGCCCATGAAATATTTGTTGTTAATAATTAAATTAATTATTTGTGCAGCAGATGGTACATTGACTTGCCAGTTAAAGTTCGCATGATATCCGGTGCTAACCCACGACTTTGCGTCACCGTTTAGTCATAACCGACCTTATTGAGAATAAATATTACTTGTGTGGACCCGGCTCGTTTCAATTTTAAATTGACTAGGTTTCTAAGAATTGTAGATATTAAATTTAAAAAATTTGGTAAAGATATAGTATGTTAGAATTTATATGATGCGTTTACCGAAATGGTAAACCAAAGAAATAAATCACGCCCAGACTGTAATGTACTTTTGGTTAAATGTTACATAACTTGCATGAAAAGAAGCAAGGTCACTTAAAAATTGCAGGAAATGAAATACTTGTATGTATTCAAAACCAAATGTTTACATGTATTAGAGGAAATGTTACAGACATTAGAGGAAATGTAACGGACATTACTAATTATTTGTACATTTCTGGACAAACATTGGAACAAATGTTACAGACATGGAAAGAAATGTTACCGACATTGGAGGAAATATAACATATCTTGTAGAAAATGTAACAAACAATATGGGAAATGTATCACATAAACATGTAAGAGGAAGTGTGACATAAAATGGTGGAAAAACAACATACCATGCAAGAGATGTAACATATACATTAGAGAAAATGTAAGAGACATTAGAGAAAATGTAAGAGACATTAGAGGAAATGTAAGAGACATTAGAGGAAATGTAAGAGACATTAGAGGAAATGAAAGAGACATTAGAGGAAATGTAAGAGACATTAGAGGAAATGTAAGAGATATTAGAGGAAATGTAAGAGACATTAGAGGAAATGTAAGAGACATTAGAGGAAATGTAAGAGACATTAGAGGAAATGTAAGAGACATTAGAGAAATGTAAGAGGCATTAGAGGAAATGTACGAGACATTAGAGGAAATGTAAGAGGCATTAGAGGAAATGTAAGAGACATTAGAGGAAATGTAAGAGACATTAGAGGAAATGTAAGAGACATTAGAGGAAATGTAAGAGACATTAGAGGAAATGTAAGAGACATTAGAGAAAATGTAAGAGACATTAGAGGAAATGTAAGAGACATTAGAGGAAATGTAAGAGACATTAGAGGAAATGTAAGAGACATTAGAGGAAATGTAAGAGACATTAGAGGAAATGTAAGAGACATTAGAGGAAATGTAAGAGACATTAGAGGAAATGTAAGAGACATTAGAGGAAATGTAAGAGGCATTAGAGGAAATGTAAGAGACATTAGAGGAAATGTAAGAGAGGCATTAGAGGAAATGTAAGAGACATTAGAGGAAATGTAAGAGGCATTAGAGGAAATGTAAGAGAGACATTAGAGGAAATGTAAGAGACATTAGAGGAAATGTAAGAGACATTAGAGGAAATGTAAGAGACATTAGAGGAAATGTAAGAGACATTAGAGGAAATGTAAGAGACATTAGAGAAAATGTAAGAGACATTAGAGGAAATGTAAGAGGCATTAGAGGAAATGTAAGAGTCATTAGAGGAAATGTAACACGCAGGAAATGTAACATACATTGGAGAATATGTAACATACATTCAATGATATGTAACATGCATTTGAGGAAAGAAAACATATATGGAGGATTATTATGTTACATACTTCAAAGGTACTGTAACATATATATAAGAAATGTAACATATTAGGGCGGAAATGCTAAAAATTGGAGAAAATGTACAGTTTTTTTTATAGGAAGTCTTTAAAAATGAAACGTTTTTGGGGGAACATGAAGCGTAAATGAGTAAATGAAAAACATCTTGGAGGAAAAGTTTCATATCTTGGAAACATGTTACATATATCTGGAATAAAAAAGTGTTGAAAAACATATCAGACAGTTGATGTAACGTACCTTGTAGGAAATGTAACGGAGGTTCTTCATATTCTTTACACAACTTTCCCATGAAAAATTTACCTCCGAATAATTTTGTCGACATGAATGTTCCATATTTTGCCAAGCCAATCTCATACGGTGAAAATTCGACCCATTCTATAAATCATCAAGAAAAACATCTTTACATCCACAATTAAGATACATATGGTTTACATCCACAATTAAGATACATATGGTTTACATCCACAACGCAGATGCACTGGTTTTGTGTTCTGCTTTGAAGACATTGTCAGAAGGGAATTCAATTATGGGGGTAAATCTAACAAACGGTACAGCAGGTATCCTAACGTTGGTTCAGTCCCGGCCTTAAACAAAAAGGCAAATGCACACTTTTTTGATAATGCTGACATGTCTAGATTTTTGTTAATATTTTGACAATTGGTGTCTTGTATATGTGTATTAAAATAACGTTAGAGAATTGAAAAATAGGCCAAACCTTGAAAACTCCTGGCTGAACGGTCTTTTTTGACGTGAACACACGTGAGAAGAGGCATTGGTATTCCTCCATCAGCCAGTTTTGCCTGTTGGTCAGACAATTTACAGTCCAGTCTCTGTAAAATAAAAGACAAATTTGTTGACCAATAGATGAAAATTACTGATTAAAATGATAGCAACATTTTATTTATGATAGTAATATGCTGTGGAAGCTTTATTGGCTAGAAACATAACGACTGTCTTTAAATGTTTCTAAAAATACATTTAACTTTTCAAACGAGTCGATACGCCAATTTAAGGCTTAAAATGCTTGACAAAAAGATTTATTCAATTTCCAAGTGACATGAAATATACTACAAAGAGACGACCAAAATCATTTGAACAAAAGAAAGAAAATTTACCCCCTTCAGTAGAGTTTCGCCAACCATATGTCCAAAGAAATCAGTGAAACTAACAGGCTGACCCATCTGTCTTTTCTTCATAATTTTGTCCAAATATCTGTACACACCTTGTGGTGAAAGCAACCAGAGCAGGCTCGAGTCTATATTGTTCTTTAACTCATCTTGCATGGCCCCTGGTGCCATCTGTGGCCAACTTGGGTGAGAATATAACGTGGATATATACCTGAAATAAAATAAACAATATTTGGCATTATATAAAGCTTTTAAATAGTATTATTTTTACTCTGTATTTCAAACTTTCTATGGCATCATATATAAATAATGGTGCTGAGTTTTATACGAACTGTGTCGCAGTGTTTAATTCGAACTGTGGCGCGGTGTTTTATTCGAACTGTGGCGCGGTGTTTTATTCGAACTGTGGCGCGGTGTTTTATTCGAACTGTGGTGCGGTGTATTATTCGAACAAAAGCGCCGTTTTATATTCAAGGAGTGGTGCGGTGTTTAATTCGGACTGTCGTGCGGTGTTTTACTCGAACTGTGGTGGGGTGTTTTATTCGGACAGTCGTGCGGTGTTTTATTCGAACAGTGGTGCGGTGTTTTATTCGAACTGCGGTGCGGTGTTTTATTCGAAAAGTAGCGCGGTGTTTAATTCGGACAGTAGCGCGGTGTTTAATTCGGACTGTCGTGCGGTGTTTTACTCGAACTGTGGTGGGGTGTTTTATTCGGACAGTCGTGCGGTGTTTTATTCGAACAGTGGTGCGGTGTTTTATTCGAACTGTGGTGCGGTGTTTTATTCGAAAAGTAGCGCGGTGTTTTATTCGGACAGTAGCGCGGTGTTTTTTTCGAACAGTGGTGCGGTGTTTTATTCGAACTATGGCGCGGTGTTTTATTCGAACTGTGGTGCGGTGTTTTATCCGAACAGTAGCGCGGTGTTTTATCCGAACAGTAGCGCGGTGTTTTATTCAGAGAGTAGCGCGGTGTTTTATTCGAACAGTGGTGCGGTGTTATATTCGAACCGTGTGCGGTGCTTTATACAAATGAATTGATACAGACAGGAACAGCAGAAATAAATACAGGGAAGCTATCATCTTCTTATCAATTGAAACAGGATCGGATGAAGTTCTCAAATGCAATCAAATGTAATTATTTATAGACCGTATTAGGTAAAACATGGAGTTTATATGAAGTGTTTATGATTTCCAGACGTTTAATTTGCAACATAAACAGTTTTCAAATTAATTGTATTTTCTTCCTGAATAAACCACGTCTAAGATACTATATAACGAAAAAAGAACAATAACAAAACAAAACATTTGACAAAAAGCAATAAAATTAATGTTAATTCCGTGTCTATGTTACCTAGACGTAAAAAAGCAAGACAAATTGTTGTGAACATGATTGCAGAGTTTTTAATTAACCACAAACAACTTTAATATAGAAACACTTCAGAATATTTGTCTCGATGGAAGACAAAATTACGGTCTAGGGTCTGAATTTAATCTCAGTGAAAGTTTATGTTTGCTTATCAAAGATACTTATACCGTAATCGTATATATAACCACATATATATTTCATTTCATTTATTTTAAGTTAAGGTTTTCTTCCAGACGTAAAAGGTGAAATAATTTTGTTAATATTCTTATAATAAATAAGGCAGTGATCTTATTTTGAACTTTGCTATATATGTATCATAGAGTTGAACCACAACTGTGTTCAAATGGCACATATACCCTAGTAACCTTTGCTATAAAAAGAACACATCTAAGTTTACCGAATGCAAATAGTGTTGCAGTCTGATCAAATGTGATTTTAGAAGGGTTATCTATAGTTATTACATTTTAAATAAGTAAATGCCAAAAACTCTTGTGGAGCTGGTCCGAAAAAAGTATGTGTAAGTTTCGACGATGTTTCTATATTATTAACTTTATGAGATATACAAAACTATTGTATAAAATGCTTTTATTTTTAATTAGTCAAAAGCCAAATGCACATCATCTAATCTAGATGAAAACATTTGCTTATATATAGACATGTTGTGGTTTACATAAGGAGAAAGCGCAAGGAATGTCTCAATTATGACTAAGTCAAGGGTCATCAATATGGTTCCGGTTAAGTACATATACTTGATTAAACCCATTATCAGAGCATCTGAATAATTACATACTAATACGGTTGGTTTAATTTCCTTTCTATCATTTACTGGAGACTCTTGCTGTAAAATTTTCCGAGACATAAGTACGGACGGACGCCCTTATGATGTGACATATGTTCGCGTATTTCTTTCGATGAAAAAAGCCCAATAAGGTCATTTAAGTACCCAACATGTAAACTGAATGAATCAAATTTATCTTTACTCGTTGTTCCCTGTACCAAAAAAAGAGCCAAATACATGTATCCTGTCATTCGTCAGAAAGGGTGGACAAAGGACACATCAAGTTGGGGGGACTGGGAACGACTAGAATATTTGATAACTCACCAGGAAGATCCGGAGAGTCCACATAGGTAGGTTGTACATTGTAGTATACCAGAATCATGAAGAGCTTTGACCACGCCACTGAGGCCAACCATTGCTCGAAACCCACCACCTGAACCAATCACAGCTATCGTTGGTGCCTGGAGACGTAAAATAAATATAAAATAATTTAAATGAAAATATATACATATATAACATTTTTATTTGTAGCAAATATCTGATATAGATACATAGTTAATAAAAATATATATAAAAGCAAATGATTTATAAACTGTCGATTCTGTTAATGTTTTACCTAAAAGTGTGTGTGTTATACGGCAAGGAAAAAGTAAGAAAGTATATCTTGTTTTGGGGAGGCAAGGAATTGCCATTGTGTCCTCTTGCATGGAACTAATATAATAATCAAAATCCATGCGCGCAACAATATAGTTTGGTGCCATTTAAAGTAATCCAGGGCAAAAAATTATACACATCAATCATTGTTAGAAAAATATTAGTTTTTGTTTACGAAAATATTTCATTTTCATTTCGTGACTTATGGAATGCCTTTTTTTGTGGCACATGGCAGGAGCTGTTATTATTAACAGTTGTGTTTATTAGTTTTATTTTGATTCTTAAAAGTCAAGGAAACAAATATGTTGTTATAATTGTATTTTATAACTTTATTTGAAAAGCATTAGCATTGTGATATTTATATCTATGAAATGGCTTCTACTAAAAGCCGGACTCCGAATATTTCTGTGGTCTACATTGATGTCTATTCTGGAATGTACTGGTATTTTCATTTTTTGTTATTAATCTTAGATTTAGATTTTATGGTCTTCTCTGTTTATTCATTTTTTGTCTGTAATGCATTGTTTATTGGTTTGTTATGTATACTGCTATGTCGGTCAGGTTTAGATTGAAGTGAAATGGATTATTAAACACACATTATACATATATCTCTTGCACTTCACTTTCCTGTTTTTGAACAAGTTGTGTGTAAAAATTTAATGAAGTCAAGATCTTGACCAAGAGCCTTGGTAAATATATCATATAATGATTCTTAAAAATAATGATAGCTGAGTATTTCTGCAGTTGCAACATCTTTGATCGCTAGTTCAAAGGGTCAAGGTCACAGGGGTAAAATATAGCTAAGATCTGTTAACTAGAACAGTTTTGGCTAGCTCAAATAGGGTTCCGTTCACGAGGCTGCAGTAAATTCTAGCTCACAGAACATACATTCTCCGTAAAAGACATTTGTTCGACAACTTAGAAACAAATACATGTGCATGTATACGATAAAGTATCACATGAAGTACCATCTTCAACAAAATGTCCGTGATTGTAGGTGAATAAAAATCATTTGATATAAAAGCGTGTCGTTGTGTCTCCCACATTGTGATATGAATTATTTGTTCGACCAAAATTACAATAATTTTAATTTATTTATTAGAAGAAAAACAACAACAACACCTGGGTCCATTGTATTGGCAGGTGTATCATATTCTAATTAAATAACCACAAATAACCAGGTGATGATCACGGTATATGCGTAAATTCTTTTGTTTATTCCGTCTTCTAATGTCAAGGGTGTCGTTTTTATTTCTTATATTTAAGAAGGTTAAATACACGAGGGCACGCGCACGCATACTCGTACATAATTATACAAACTCGGCATTTGTTTTCTTATTCCATATTAATGATTGATAAGTGTGTCGTCAACAAAATTATTAAAAATGAAAGCAATCATTAGAACGAACACTTACGTTGAGTCTGAAGTTCAATATCTCCATTAAATAACAATCAATAGTAAAGTTTGTTGTTGTTGTTTTTTTGTATGTAGTTCAAAGTGCCTTTAGTACTGGTTTTTCTTAACCCACTTCGCGCTTTTAACTAACTGATACAAGTTTGAGCACATGTACTTGAAAAATGTTTATTTGGAGCCAAACAAAATCTTTGTTCCACTACCGACAAAATTTCCAATCATGTTTCACTGTTCTATCAACTTCTGTTTCACTTATACAGATTTCTACTTGTATAATACTCAATGGCAAATCAATAAAATGAAAACATATTTAAAGTTACATAAATACATAGTGATTATGGAAGAGAATATCCGTTAAAATGTCTTACGTCGTCAACATTTTTCGGGGCTTTCTCCTCACCAAGAAGACGTTGCATGCCTTCCATAACTTTTTCTTTTCGCTTCAAAAGGTATTCTTTCTCCTGGTCACATAAACACAAGCTGTAACGTAACGTGGGGTCCTTGCTGAAAGTTAACAGATTTTACAGTGAACTAGAGTGCATTTATTGTGAATATACATGTATATACGAATATGTGTCCCAAAACACAAAAACATAAGTAGTCTAACAATAAAGGATTTTTTTTCTCCAAAGACTATAATCTTCATGCTAAGTTTCAGTAAAACGGTTTTCATCCTACATATATTTACTCTTAATTAAATGTATGTATTATAAAGATTTATAGAGTCTTATATAATGTAACAACAAAGTAGGAAATGCGATATAAGACATATATAATATTAAATAATGAGGGTAAATGCAATAGAAGACATAAGTTTTGATAGATGGGAAACGTCAAATATATGACCAAAAATGGTTAACTGATGAAAGAAATGACATAAAGAACTTAAATATCATATTAAAAACACTTAAATTATGCTAAATTTAAGGGGAAAGTGCAATATAACAATATTAATCATGGTATATTAATGGGGAAAATGCAATTTACCACTTTTTAAAAACATGCTAATTTAAAAGAGAAAGTGCCATATAACACTTTATTCATGCTATATTAATGGGGAAAATGCAATATAACACTTAAATTTTACTTAATTAATGGGGAATACAATCTAACTATTAAATCATGCTTAATTCTTTGGGGAAAATGCAACATATCACTTAAATCATGCTATATTATATGTAATTGGGGGCAATGCAATACATGTATAATAAATGAATATCAACAAAGTAAAACATGCATTATAGTTCAATTGATGGGACAAACAAATATTCTGACACGTGACTGAAGAAGTTTATGCTGTTACACACAAATAATTCATTTGAGTTTAAGTACAATTGAAAAAAGAGTATCGACTTTAAGCCGTTTATAAATATATTCAAGACTCGGGCTTAAATGAGAAACGAATTTCATAAGATTCTGAAAAAACTTAACATTCTTTCAAGTTAACTGAAATTTTATTCAAAATCGTCGTCTTCTTTATGCACATGCACATTCACATTTTGCTGTTCAAACTTAAAATCACCGTATAAAATATTTCATTATGCAAATAACATGTAACTTCACACAAAACCTTTGCTGTATAATTTAATTTTTCTTTTCATAAATATCTTTACTCACAGCTGTTCGTCTGTTGTTCGTGTATTAGTATTTTACATGACAAGAACGATCAGTGATCTGATGCAGTTGTATTGAAGGGTGATTGACCGGCTGTTCGTTAAATGTCGCGGCTACTTTAAAGCATGAAGTAGCTGCTATGAAGCAGAAGACACAAAACAATTGGCCGGCCAAAACGTTCTTGCACTTGTAGTTTTTGAGAAGTAGTCCGGACCAATTTTATACCGGACAGACAGAGAGATGGACGGACAGATAGACAAACAGACGACAAAGAAGTGGTCCTTATAACCCGTGATACTTTCTAGCATGTATCAGCTTCTGTGTAGCAGGCAACACAAAAGTCATGAAAAGGCCAAAATGCTTTTTTAATTCAAGGGCATAACATAACATCTGTCAGAGTCATAAAATTGGAAAATGCCGACGATTTGCACCGGAAAAACTTGGCACTGATCATTTCTGTAAAGTGTGGATGAAAGGACGCCATAAGTTCTTGGAGTTGTCAGGACAAGTTTTGTGATGGACGGAAGGACAGACGGACAGACGACGAGGAAGTGATCACTATATATATCGCCGCTACTTTGTAGCAGCGACACACAAATGGTATAGCTGCATGCATGCAATTTACAGGTTTAAGCATTTTACATGCATACTTCATATTCGTACATGTACATAAACTTTGAATGTCATAGAGCTTTTCAAAGCCATGCATATGTTGAGCCTCAATTATCATCAGAACAACAAATCTGTGTTTAAGGCAACACGCGTGTGAATTGTTTAATGTTAAATATACATCATATATTTTAATTAATTATACACTGCAATTATTAACGTGTCCTTTGTCTACATTACGTGATATACCTCCTGAGATAAATATATGATTTAAAATGTTGCTTTATTATGTAAATAGAATCTCATGAGTTCTTAATTTCACGAGGACATTGGCAGCTTTTCGGACCTTTCCGTAAAACTTTGGACGATTACTGGTTAATCGGCGAAAAGTTCCGAATGCTCACGATACAAGACATATTAGTCTATACGAGCTTTAGTGTGAGCCAGTGGTTAAAGTCGCTGACTTCAAAGTAGTTGCCACTCAGCGCTGTCAGTTCGAATCCCGCTGTAGAGACTTTTGATTCTTTCATCTTACTAATAGAAGATTTTACTTTTTGATCCTATTTAATGGGGGCACCTTTGTTTGTCTTCCACAAGTACAGCTGGAAAGTCGCCATATTACATCTTACTACCTAATCTATAATCAGCACTAATTAGTCCAAAATGTGGATTTGATGGCGATTTATAAGTTATAAACGTTTTGATTAAATTTGATATAAGTATGTTGAAATTAAACTAGTGTCAGTGAAAGGGTTTTTATCGTGATTTGAATATCAATAATTAGTTATAGTCTACGACAACAAAATACAACAGTTCTACTTAAATAAACAAAATAAAAATAACTTACTCTAAACTTAATTTCATTTCAATGTCAATCTCGGATACCTGAAAGGCAGAAATAGTATTTTGTTATAATCATAAATCCAGAATATAGCACTGGCAAGAACTGGGAGTTATAAATTAAAGATAGTTTTAAAATAACTGGGAGGATTTCAGTGAAATATTAGTTTAAGAGAGATGACGAACTATTTCTACTATAAGATACATGATATTTATATGTAAAACCAACTCAAGAATCTGCTGAAAGAATCAAATTATCATTCTTATATGTAAAACAGTAGATGACAAACTAATTGGCAAGTCATTATGAAATGTTTGAAATAATGAAAAAAAAAATATTGTATACTAGTAGTAATATATTAACATTTGCATTCGATATCTTAAGCCTTAATGATTTTTATTAAACATCTATTATTTTTAAAGTTATGAGTAAATATTAACCTAATGTATAATTGATCAATTGGTGAATTTTTTAACCGGAAATATTAATAAATTATCCACATTTTTGACATGCAATAAACAGAACAGACATACTGTATAATTAGCATAGAGTTAAGTACTCAGACGACATGGTTCCGTTTGACCTACTTAACTCACTATGCAAGCTTATTATCATACATCGTTACTATGTAGTCAAGCTTAACTTTAGTATAAACATGTATATAGAAAGGGCAGAATAATGTTTAGTCTGAATATCCGTAAGTCTTATGCACTAGTCATTGCAGCCCCCGGGGAATATCGGAGACTTTTGATTTTTCGCGGCTATTTTGGCGACAACCGCACTACCACCAGGGTGAGGGTCCATCAAGGTTACAATCGACTGTTGCATTATCAAACTAACTTGTTTGTAGGCTTAATCTTAGAATATTAGGACACGTTTAGTCAGCAATTTAGAAAGTCGGAGTAAAAGTGAAAGTATGATACAATATGGAGCAATATGAAATTCTTAAGTAAAATGTAGTTTGGTCACTTTTGAATCAAAAATATTTAAAATTAGACTATTTGGTGGGAGCTGGGAATATATAAATAACTTCGCTTTTCAATACGACATAGTTGATATTAAAACAATGGTTTATTTCCCATTAAATCAATTTAAATTATTGTTTGTTGTTGTTTTTCAACTAAACTTTTCGAAATGATATCCTTTTTTTAACAAATAAAGAAATGAAGTAAAAGGAGGAGAAACCAAAATAAAATAATACAGCGATGAATTGAAATAAATTCTTTTCTTTCTTTCAGATATAATACAGACAAATATTTACCTCATTAAATACAAACGTCCTTTTTTCGACATGGTTACGTCGAAGTTCGGCTATATCGAAAAACACTTTACCAACTAGTTCGTCATATGTGTAATTTGCTTCCATAAGCCGGATTTCTGAAATTATATAGAATTAAGTTCTTAAATCTTTTTTTTAATTTACAATAATGTATGTAAATCATAAGAATTGTTGTTGTAATTTTTTTACATAAAAAAGGCTTTGGATTGTAATACTTCCATGCGGCTAAAATGTATTGTGTATTATTAGTCTTAATCAAGTAGAACTTGCTGAAAGTAAAATATATAGTGGTTACTTCATATAAATGACGAATATAAAAAAGTAATAGTTAAGACAATAATCAGAATGTGACTGTCACGTGATGGCCATATATATCTATAGTTCACTGTATATATTATAATATTAGAACTAAACGGTAGTCCCAAGTTGAGTAATTAACGTTCGGAAATGCAAAATTTCAAATAATTTATAACGGACATACAGGTGTGTGCCATAAAAATGCGACAGCGATGATTTATTGTGGTTCAGTAAGAGAGCATCTTTTTCATTTCAATGACATGGTTCCTTAAAATTCATCTACTAGAAGGCTAAATCTAGCATGTTTATTTCTTTGAAGACTTGGGTGTTCTTTATATATTTATACATTTACAAACGCCATGTTCCAAATGATAAGAAATCATATTAAGACCTTGACTGTTCAAACATTTGTGTCACCATCAGTATCAGCTGACCACTTTATCAGCAGCTCGGTCTGTGTACTGGTATTTCTAGGGCAGGAATGACATTTGCAGATGATTATCAATTTGGCGGAGGATATTCAACATTTTAGATTAAGAGTTTCTGCAATCGACGTAAAGTTTGCATTACAGTAAACTAAACATCAAGAATATTTTAAATTCAATAAGAAACCATATTATTAATAATTTCTACAGCATATTATGTATACGTTACTGGTAAAAGCAGACGACATTTTTGTAAGATATACTAATATCTAGACGATTTTCTCACACCTCCAGGCGAACAAATTTTAAATCTTCAAATGATGTTTCAATGTATTTTCTATTCCCATGATTATTAAAATCGGAATTAAGACAAAATTTAACATCGAAGAAAGACGCAGTAAAACACGTAATTACATCACGGCAGTAGACAATAATATGTTTATATGTTATTTCCACATCTTACATTTTGGTTTACAAATATGAGAAACGTCCATGTATGTATCAAACTACAAAGTAAATAAAAGTAACTCCACTGAGGTCCAAAACTCTAAAGATACAAAAGTTGAATTTCTTACATAGCTGGGGAATTTAAAATGGGAAGATATGCAAACGATTATGTAGATATATACTTAGAAGTATATTGAAAATCGTATGTGTGTGTTATTTTTGGCTCGATTTGAGTGAAAAGGGAATGTGAACGAAAAGGGGATGTGAGTGAAAAGGGTTGCAACGCATTTCAACTGTGGGTCATTTCTTAAAATAAAGTCATTCATTCTGGAAAACTGGAGTGAACGAAAGATCTGAAATTTTGCATACAAGTTATTTGTTAAGAAGCCAAAAAGAACATAATTTAAAAAATTAATACCCAGTCCCATCATGTCAAAAAAGCCAGTAGAATCCTTTTAACAAATGTATACATTCATTCCGTTACCTTATAACTTGGTTGGCGTATAATAAAAAAAAAACTTCGTTTGTGATTTTTTTTGTCGAATGTCTATTTAAACTAGGAATACAAAATATCTAGCTTCTTCTCGCACCAATTCTAATGATTTAGATGATTTTCGAGAAAAAAATAGCAATCAAAAGACTAAGTTATGGCAAAAAATATATATATTTGCAAAAAAGCTTTTGCACTGACTAACGAAGCATAATATGAAAATTATGTATTTCGGTATTACTATAATTAAATGAAGACTGAATCTCAAGGTATGCCATATACATAGATAACATCACTGGTGGCGACACGAAGAAACAGTTTTAACCTTTATGTACCTATATAGAGGATGAATATTTCACTGTGTCAAGTTTGAATATCAACCGCACAAAAACTGTGAATAGATTTCTAGGAAATAAATATATTCGCATGAAAATGACACAGTTATTGCAATGCCTGCATGATAAAGATAAAATCTAGGTATTATTAAATCTAGTTTCCGAGAACAGTTGTGTTCAATACAAGTAGGAATTATCACGTGGCACCGCCTACATCTTTTTGAAATAATGTATCCAAATATTATTGTATGATAACACGGCATACAAGGTATATATGTGCACTTCTCAATATAAGTCAGATCAATCAATCAACCAATCAATCAATCAATCAACCAATTAATCAATCATGAACAAATTATAATTAATTAAAATATTACAGAATTTCTCGTATTAAAATGGATTGGTATATTATGGAAGGTAAATAAATTACATATATTACATAACAACAAACCACGAAAAATTTAATTATGAATGTTGTTGGCAAGTGTGAGATTCATGATCTGATATTACATATATCTATATAACAGATAATATTCTAGAACAAAATATTATTTTTCATCATTTAATGTGTATACAAAATCCCTTACAAATTCATCAGCATTTTTTTCAAGTAATATTTTAGTAGAGCATTGAATGATACATTTCTTAGACTACTTATTTAATCAATATTTGAAATAATTACGGAAAATGTCCCTCCCCATTGTAGACCAATCCACTTTAATTCAAATCGAAAAACTTTTATGTCTGTCCGCCTTGACTTGGCTGTGGCGAGTGGGTGTTTTTATAGCCAAATTCGAAAAACGTCAGAACGGTTTAAGAATAACACAGGATATCACGAATACGGATATTACGTACCCATGATATTTTCTACTGCCTCGCCGAGGAGGAATGTAAAGGATTCGTTCCATTCTGGATTTACTTCGTTATCTTTCACCGTTGTTTGTTTTCTACCCTCTGGTGCCGTCCGTATGTATATCTTGATATAAGGATCCGGGGTGTCCACTGTAATAACAAACAAAACAAAAATTATCGAAACACTAGAATGTCTTTCCTGAGTTAAGAGGTATGTACCCGAGAATAAGTGATCTAGTTCGACATTTTTTTATACAGTGTGCTTTTATTGCAGCGGGAAATGTCTTTTTACCAGTTTTACAATTTCAATGACAAATGTTCTATGACCAAGGATACTGAAGTTCTTCTTCAAAGTTTGGTTCAGGTATCATTCCACTTAACATATGTTAAACATCAATATAAAATAGTAATGTAACATATATGCTGCGTCTATAAGCCGCACAGATCTTGGCTGCTTACATTCAAAAAAAATTACAAGTTGTAAATTAAAGATGATCATACAAAGAAAAACCCCCGTCATTCAAATGGTACCCTACAGAAACTATACTATTACTACAATATGAGAATCCTAGTATTCTAATATAGCATTTCAATTCATAACTTTAAAGCAATGATAAACATTCAACAAGATTATACTCCGTAACATAATACACTTTATATAACTGAACAGCTATATACAATATTTGTTTAAATAATGATAATAGATAACAAGATTTTCGTTCAAAAGAAATTCTTATATTGCTATTTTTAGGATATATAGACAAATGGCAGGAATTTTTCGAGAAAATTACACTCGGAACAAAGCATTAAGTAAATGTGAAGTATATATATTTTTACCGTAATCTGACCATCCTTTGGTGATGTTCCTTCCGGCAAGCACGGTAACTTTGAGGATCAAACATGGTCGATGTTCAACCTGTAGGGGTGTAAAACGAAAATATATAATTATACAGCAATTGATGTTTTGTATGGTTTACTTAATCTACCGAGAACCACTTTACAAAATTTCTGAGCGTTTTTTTTTTTCTTCTCTGTTTTATTTTATCTGCAACACTGAAATGACCCAATTTGAAAGACGCAAGTAGACTGGGAACTAAAGTTTGTCACAATTTTTAAACCTTTAGCGGAAGATCACCTTAAAGATAAATTATCAATTGTTTTAAGTTCCGTTCTGATCAAATGAAATCTTAAAGATATATTTAACATGACCCATATTATATAGCGAGCTGTAACTTTTTTGCCAAAGCTTTTTCGGTCTGGATAGAACATCAAATCAAATGTAAATTTGCACAACTATGTAATATTCTTTTAACCATTTCACCTTTAATCTTACCTAACTAGTTGACATGTCTCTTTAAAGTAAAAAAAATGTGGAAAAGATTGACTATATCTCTCAATGGATGTTTATTTTTCTAATGACAATGTTTATGTAGTTAAATATGGACTTAAAGTGTAAACATTGAGAGAGATAACAATATAAAAACATTATCTCAGCTTGCAAATTGTTAACATAAATATTGGCAATAGCGATCGATTAAAGAACATACATGTAGTTAAAACTTACCTCAAAAATTTGGTATGGATCAAATCTGAAAATAATAAAAAAAGAAAGAATTATAAACATGTCGAGTAGTAATTAAGCACTATTTTAAATTTAGTGGCTGCGAATGACGTTAAGAATAATGAAAAATAGAATATAAGGAAGAAAAGACCCCCCCACACACACACACACACACACACAGACACACACGGACAACACACAACAGACATAACTCATCCGAACGGGTGTTGTGATAATAATGAACCTTTGACACCTACAAGCATCCAAATCAACTTTCACATTCTTGCCGACTGGCCTGATTCCTGACTCGTGGCTGGGCAATCTTATCGTATTAGACTATTATTGGACTGATACAAATTAAAATAAAGCCGAGTCCATCATACATGTCAAGTAAGTTTTTAATATATAAATATGTATACATTTACTTAAAGACATATTTGTCATATCATGCAGTTTCACAAAAATTCACATATAATAAGTCACATCTGTCCATGAATCGTTGGCCAATCATATTGTCGTTTAGTTTGGTATTATTTCAGCTTGACAATTTTCCGTCTATAACCATGAATATTTCTGGTAAAAAATAACAGTATGTATACAAAGAAATGAACAAATGACGCTCACCACGGAAAACCCATGCTATATATTGTGTATAGCTCATAATTCAACTATATAAGCAATGAATGCCAATTTTCATTGGATTGGATCTATGTTCAAAACAAGTTAATGAATGATTATGACATAACTAGTATACAACAGAAAATAACACGATTTTAGAGAGTATATTACATCTGGGTTTTAACTTACATCGTTTTTACTTAACGCAAATAAGAATTTATATCATTTAACTAAAAAGTACACATTTTCCTGTTACAGTGGGTCTCAATGTGAAAACACGTTTTTCCATTTAACGTTATCATTCTTATAATTATTTTTTTATTATTTTTCTTGTAATTCAAATTTTAATTTTGAAATTCCTTTGCTATTTATGTTCCGCTCGAGAAAAATTCATTGAAATAACTTTATATTTTACCACTATACACCGTGCACATTTACATATTATATTAAAATGTTGAAATTTGCTGGCGCATGTAATGGATGAAGTATAAAAATTGATTTAATTAAAAGACAAAGTTGACAAGAGGCGTTCAAAAGACTTAAATTTTAAAAGAAAGTTTTAGAAGTATCATCTGCTCACGAGTTCACAATATTATTAAAAAGGTGTTCAATTTGATGTATCTTTTTCAGCAACATATTGTCTGGAGTTAAAGTAACTTTAAGAGAAATGGTAAAGTTATTTAAGTACGTTTGTAATGTCGATACACATTGTCGGAATTCGACCTATAACATGCAAATGCCACGATAAAAAAGATAGAGTCGAACCTATCTAAGATCCCTGGACTGAGAGACAATAACATTAACATATAGGAATTAACTATTTACGCTGCTGTGTCCACTTACTGGACCATGAACAGGTGTCCTAATTATGAGACTCGAACCTACGATCTCTGGGCTGACTTACAGCATCTTAACAACAAGGTATCATTTGCAAAGAAAGAGAGACGAATTAATAAATCAAATAATCCCTGATATATGTTCTGCAAAAGTTTTCGTTTTTTTCTTTCTTTTTCAATATAATATGAAGTTTTTTATGTAATTAGATAAAATGTTGGTTTGCAAAACATTGTGTCTCCCGTATACAACGCAAAAGAGAAGCTATTTTGTCATATGATGGTTAAGTTTTTTATATATCCTTACAATGAATTCTCGCAATCTATGAAACAGATTAATACAACAAGTAACTAATGAATTTCTGGATAATTATTGTGAGGATAATAATTTACAGTGATTCTTGAAACATCAACGTGTCTTACTTATACATGCTAAAATCTCGCTGAGACAACATGTTAATGTTTCTTGTTTTTGTCTTGAATTGACAATACATGGTATATTAATATGTTTAGAAAAATCCCACTTTATATTGATATTGTACAGTATCATTAAAAACTACAATGAAAAAATAACTGTATTTAATGCAAAGTGATAACAAGAAAGGTAATCGATGTTCACTTAAATTTCAAAAGCGATCGGACGTTTTACTCAATAAAGCATATATTTTGATTGTTTAGATCAAAATTTATTCATCAGTTAATTTGATATGCTAGTGACTCACTTACACAGTAAGCCTACCGTGTGTAAAATAAAACTTAAATTCAGACTGATAAAAAAGGATTCTTGGTCCAGTGGTAACGGAATGATCTAGTAATCTAGGGGTTACTCCCAAGTTCGATCTCCGACTCAACTACTAGCAATACCTTAAGAAATCGAGGTCCCGTGTATCGATACTCAACATGTAATAAAAGAACCGGGACCACGTCTTATATGGGGCAACTGCTGTTTCCATTCACTACCCAGAAAATGACGGTATGATAGGCGTAGATGAAGCAACGAAATTAAACGAAAATGAATGAAAAAAGACCTTCATAGCGTGGGGTGGTAATAAATTTATGATAACGTGCATTTCCTTTAAATGTTCGATGTGAATTTAGTGGGACGCACTCAACGCTATAAATCACCCACGGTTATGTCACATGATTTGTTATGATAAGCCTTGACAAACATAGCCGAGACGCCACTATCAGTTACATTGATAAACGGCCTTACATGTCTTTACATTTTGCCATTTATGCTTCTTGTCGTATTCAGACCTTGTAACAATATGAGGTGCATTTGAATCATGAATAGAAAACTGCACTGAAGAAACGTTGTTTAATGTATGTAGTTTTGTATGAATACTTGAATGGGTGTACATTTTTTCGGTGTTTTTTTCTTTTTCAACCTGGTAATACAATGTAACCGCATCTGTACGATGTACGTCAAGATTAACAATTCTAAATGGATAGAATTTCGATTACTTCAAAAAATAATAATTGTCGTGTAGTTTTCAACAGTAAAACGAAACCCTAGAGAAGAATATAATTTTCAGTATCTTACCAGGAAGTTTTTTGTTATTTAACCACTTGACCTGTTGAATTTATGTAATATTGCCTTGCAGTCTGTTTGCATTTAATAAGATTCCGGTATAAAATATATAAATAAAAATAAGTTACTAACAGTGTAGAGCGACCTGGTCAGACTGTACGGATGTGTAGGTTGGCCTGGCTCTAGTGGTTAAAGCAAACCGCGTTCGGTCTGGTGAAATGATAAAATACAGTTGTCGAAGATTTGAAGATGTTTGGCGAGATTTACACGCCTGTGGCGAGACTGACCGGAAATATGCTATGTGATTTAGATCGTCTATAAAAGCTCGTCAACGTGGGTGTCTGTATGTACGTATTTAGTTCGTGTCTCTCTGTATCTTGTGGATACAGTACTAAGGTAACTTACAAGGTTTTTTTTCTCCACATAACTCTTCATTATTAACTATGACACTGCTGAAACAAAGGTGACTAGCCTGTGAACCAGGCTGGCATACACAGAGTGCAGTCGGACCTGCTATATATTGTTTGGTACCAAACCTTACATTTTCACCTAGATAAACCAAAAATTAAAAATAAACAGTTCATTTAAAAAATCAGCAGTAATTAAATTTCTATGACATCGAATTATCATACAGATAATGTACTATGTATTTTAGGTTTGGGAATAAACGCGACATTGTAATAGGTAGCATAGGGATATATTAAAGACACATTATTACTCAGAAACCAGTAAATTTTACTTCTTTAGCGTAAATATATGGTTTAAGAACATGTTAGATGTTTATAACCTGAAGAAAGTAACCCTGAATGTGAAATCATTAGTCATAAAAGTAACAAAATGTAAACAAAGTAATATTTTGACTTCCATACAAAATACTTATTATCAATAACAATACCTGCACTAATTGCAAAAAGGCAACAGGAGCTTGGAAACTATAACCGGACACAAAAATAAAAAAAGGTTTGAGAAAATAAAATAAAAGCATTTCTGGGGACACAATAAGATAAAAAACGTTGTCATATGATGTATGCTATATATAAGTAAATACTGATTTTTAAAGTTGGATTGTTAAAGTATACATTTAATATGAAGGGTATTTATTTAAACTGTTGTGGTGCGGCCCATTATGTGATAATTTCAATGGAATTTTATCCCTCTTTATCCAACTTGAATACTGTCTCGTTTCAGGTAGCAAATGGAAAGAAAAGGAAATAATTCAATAAAAACTAGTGTAAATATGTATAATATACAATACACACAATGGCGTGTCTAATGTTACTACATATTTCATACACCATAACGAATGAATGTCGGAAATATTTAGAAATTCGGATAGCTTTATCTATCATCGTGTAAAAGTCATTTCTAATATCGTGTTATATTTATTCAAACTATACTGGTCAGAAATCTCTGGTGTATTGTATTTGTTGTGCCACGGGCTAACTCCCCCTATTATCTGTTTCATCAATGGTGTATATGCAAATAGTTTATGCTATACACTGTATCAATCATAAATATTTAAAGAGCAGGCAAATCTGATACGTGTCCGAACCTGTAGTCTGTTTGCAAAATTTTCAAATTATTGACAAATTGCTTTTTTTTTAAGAATTGATTCTTATAGATACCAATACCAGTACAAATGTAAATTAAAATACTATATATTCTTAAATCTACAATTTATTATACATACATGTACAATATAAACGGTTAACCACTGTATACATGTACTTAAACAAATATTCATACTCGATCGAAAACTCATATAATCTAATTTGAAAATTCAGTTTTTGATTTGTCATCTTGTACCATGAAACGATGTCACTTGATTCATGAATTACTATACTGTATGTGTACTGTATAAATGTGAAATTTTATAATTGTATTTTTGCTGCTCTTGTGATGTGTTTAGGAAACCACTGGTGAAAATGCAACCATTTTGTGTTTATTGTTTTCCTATATGATTAACGTCATTCTTTTTATTAATGAAAGTTTTTTTGATAATTTGTTTGCCCGACCTTCATTAAATCATAACATTAATTTTGCACATCATTCAGAATCTGATATGCTTTGCTGTGACTAAAATGTAAATGTGATTTATATTCGGGAACAAATATTTACATTGTTTATGAAACATGTGCCCGTGCAATTCGTATAAAAAATGATATTCCGCAAAGCTTATGCAAAATGAATTGATATAGATATAATAAAATCTGTTAAACAATATGTTACTAATGAAAATTGAAATTGTCTCGACAAATGCACCAAAATAAACTCTTTTGTAAAATGTCGTATTGACAAACACACTCTTGCGAAAGCGTGGAGGTACACGTGTGTTTACACTAACACGTGCACAGTCACTAAAGTGAGATATACTTAATCAGATATAAAATCTTTCCAACGTTCAAACACCAATTTATAGTGTGAATTGATACTTAATTTTCTTATTTTCTTAGAAGTAGGTTAACTTTTTTTTCGAAAGTAAGCTTGGTTCGTACATGCATAGGTTCTAGCCCGTGATCGATAAACTTTCCGGACAGGTTAAATGCTGCTTATATAAATGCAAGTATCCCGTTTGTATATTCAAAATACCATGTTAAAAAGAACAACGAGTACAAAAACCATGTAAATTGATATACAAATACCATGTTAATAGAAATACAAATACACGGTTAATTGAAATACAAATATATTGTTTAATAAAAACAAATACTCAATTATGCAGAATGAGCAAAGTGTACAATAAAAATAGACTGTTATATTATCAAATATTTAAAATGTCTAAGATATTTCAACAGAAGTTAAAATCATGAATGACCTTTTGTCGACCTTCATTTAACCCCAGCTACTCTTCATTAATAAAAAAATAATAACATGGACACATTTTAAGTTTATATGGGAGCAGAACGATAAACGTGGGGTTATATGAAACCTAACTATAATACAGTCGCTCAAGTTTATTACCTACATTTTACAGGTTTGAATTTCATACCACAACCATATTTCGGGCTTTTAAGACATGTGAAGAAGTCTAATATTTACTTAATAAACATGTCTTAATGCTTTAACGCGTTTAAAACGGTATAATTAGGAGCGTTCTTGTTTGTACTTATATCAACAAAAATGTTAGCTCTTCTGGTATTTAACCGTTCTATGCCGCCCATATCATCCGAGCCCTGCCTCAGATAATATCTCTATTTCATTTCTAAACCTTTGCACGAAATATTTATACATATAATAATGCTATAATCTAATAATAAGCAAGTTAAGGAAATATGATAGTTATGAAAAAAAAGACAAACAAACCCTGTTATATCCATGATTCAGTACATTTCCTCTCAACACATAAATTTTTAAGCTACGATGTCACGGAAAATAGCACTTGACTCCGACCAAATTTATCTGTACCATTTGGCTACAAGTGAAGCGTGTATTCGTATTTTCTAATTTAAGTGAATATATTTATTTATACCAGGTCACTATAAAACATAAAACTCTCCGATACACTTCGTCTACGTTAACTAACTTCCGTAAAATCACTATTCTCACTCGAAAAAAGTTTAACTGTGTGTATAATTAAAAATCCATGAGTCAGTAACTGTCACTATTGCACGGTTCAAATATTGAAAATTACAGGGTTCTATCCTGACAAAATTTATGTCAACATGTCCATTAAACTTCAATTCGGATCGTCCATTTTAATTAAAAGTTTTAGACGTGTTCAATACACTCTATATTAGTATTGTGTATTCTACAAAACATGCACATCTAACCTTTAATGTCCTGGTATAAATTTGTGACAAAATATCTTCAGAAATGTTTACATTTATTTTTCATGCATTTATATTTAAACTTTATTCTAAAATCCATACACAACCGCGTATACTACAGAGTACAGACCAGGTAAATGGTATCATTTAACCGTGTAGGGAATCACTTCTATTCTTGATGCAAGTAACTTTAATCTTAAGTGCACTGTACATCAGTGCGTCATATGGGGTTATTTTCATAAGTGCATTATCTTAATGTAGTCGGATATCCGCAATGGTAAACTCGCAAGTAAATTATTGACACACAAATCTATTCCATTCAAGTGTCATTAAATCGTCTATTTTTACACTTTTCAACCACAAAATGATATATAATTTCTCTCTATCCATTTGATAATAACTGCGCCACTGGCATATCTACATTTTCCTTTATTTCCCGAAGGTGATTGCCCGTATTTCGATATTTCAGGATGAATATCAAGACATTAGAATTTGAAAATAAAGTAGGAGTCGTAAATGACAATGTATGAGGTATATATAAGATAGGCCATCATAAATATTAACGTGGTTATAAGTTTCCCATCAGTTATTAGTTCCACGCTTAAAACTACCTTTACATTAACATAATTAACGCTTGAGCAAACAAACAGAATTTAAAACGCGTCAAACATAAATACGTTTAGTGCATCAGGAGTTATTTCCCTTTTTATGAAAAACTATACAAAAACAAATAGCAAGACCAGCTGGTCGAAACAACATAATTCGACCACAGGGGCAAAGCCAGGCCAGCAAGAGACACCAGACCGTGGCTAACCGCAACACAGACTTGATCCACCTGAATGTGACATAGTCAGTAAAACGGGTCATGAAATCTCAAATTATTATTAGTATTTTAATAATGGACATAAAATAATAATATTATTTTCTTCTTCTTATTAGTCTCTGTTTGTTTATTTTGTGTTGTTTTTTTCACATCCTTTTATTCAGGGTATGTTTAATGTATTTACATGTAAACAATCCTGATTTATTTAACATGAAAAATAAAAATTTGAAAAAAAAATTATATTCATATTAAAATCAACGAGGATTTTTTCTACATCTATAGTTGTATATTTATGTGAAATAAAGATGTATTTCGTCAAATGTGTTATATAATAACGGTTAAAACATTTTATATCCAATTGTAATAGGTTGTTTAGCTTATACGTTCGTGTGCGCGTGCATTAATGTTAACGAGACATATTTTCATTATAAACATGAATGGCAATTAAATCACTGCGACATCTGAAACAATACAAACATAACCAACTGTTCATAAGCTCTTACTATGTCAAATTCCCAATGATTTACCTTAGGAGAAGACCATCGTTTTGTTTTTGTCCACATTTTTTACACAATGTATTTTCTCCAGTTTTGAAATATTTCCTTTTATCTGTGAACCTTTCCTCAAGCCTCTTCCCAAAACGCTGACCCATATTATTGCTATATATCATTTAAACAAAACCATAACGAAATATTCTTCATTATTAAACCATATATCATAGTTTCCTTCTATTACCGGGTAATAGCATTTTTACATTAATTGAGCATGAGCAAATATACATCTTTTCTAAGAAATAGAATTGTCAGCGAAATCAACATCCGAAATCCGAACACTTCATTATCAACATATCTAGACAAATAATTCAAAACACACAAAAAGAACTGCCGGAGAATGCTCAGAAATATTCCTTTCAAAGAAAATAAAAAACTGCGCCTGAGAAATCGTTGTCAATTCAAGGAAGAAGAAACCGAGAATCAGCTGTGAATTCTGATTACAAGTAATTTCTGTAACTCTACAGTAAAAGATCAAACAATATATACTGTATGAGTATCGTGACATATCTAATAACAGATTTACAATTACAGTACATAGTGAAATAGACTGAAAATTATTCCTAATTATGAAGTAAATGTAAGTGAAATAATATCAGTTTGATCGAATGCGACTGTGCGAAATAGTATAGTTCTAGTCAAGCTAATCCTTCCATGCAGCCTGGTCAGAAACAAGTTTGTCTTGTTTGTTTGATCTAATTATTTTTCTGGAATGTGTACAACGATGCTACAATTTTTTTTGTGTCGAGATCTTGCTTAAAATTGTATATTACCAAACTTACATAATTAAGTATTCATTACAAGTATTAGCAAAAATTAGCAACAAGAAGTGTAAATCAAAGCACAGAAGGCGCTGAATTTGTTTGGGTCTCAGAATGTCAGAAATGTGAAGGTTGTGAGATTATAAACCAATGTGTTTGTTAAGTGTCACCAAATTCTGTTTCCAGTGTTATAACTATAGTAAATTGGCTATAAGACTAATTGCAACACTGATATTCAATTCAATGTTTATTTGGCTTAATCAATTAAAAAAAGAAACAAAAAAACATGAGTTGCCTGAACTGGGATTTGAACTCTGGACCTCTCGCTTCTAAAGCGAGCGTGTAAACCCCTCAACCAGGGGGAGTAATGAGATAACTGCCTAAAGAATACCATATTATTCTTTATCACACACCCGTGCCGATTTTGCGACTCCGTAAATATGGTATTGCACGGCCGTGCATATATTTTGACGTGACGTCATTAGCGTTATACAAACATAGTGTAAAGACGCGCTAAATGTTAGCGTTATACTATAGGCGCGTCAATGAAAAATGACTCTTATTTTACTTTAAACGGTCTTTATTTTGGGTAAGTGATAAATAGAATATTAAATTCGTGTAAGTTCAATACTGAAATTATTGCACGAGTTGAATAAAATAATATTATGCTCGCCAGAGGCTCGCATAATATAATTCTATTCAACTCGTGCAATAAATTCAGTATTGAACTTACACTCATTCAATATCCTCTATTAATTAGAGTTTGTAACCCTCATTAATTTCGATATATTTTGTTCACGGTAAACCTGTTGTTTAACACTGAAGTAAATAATCATGGAGCTGAATATAAGCATGTATATCTATAAAAATAACACAATATTAGAAATATTCGACCAATCGGGAACTATTTTTTCGTCACGAAAATTAATGCGCCTGTCATTTGACAATCTTTACGCAATGATCTCCCCTTAATTTACATATGAAGGGAAGTAATCGTTTCGAGGAGTTTGGGCCACTTTCGGCATTTGCAAATTTCGCTACCATTATTTGCTTGGTCTGACGACCCAAACAACTAAAAACTGCAAACAATGGTCACTTCCCTGATAATATTGTATACCAATTAATTTTGGCGTTGTCAAAATTTGGTGTTTTTCTGTGTATTTCAAATTGGCGGTGTTATAAATCGGAGGTAATATCGCTGACTCAATCGCAACATTTCGGCCATTTCCGTTAAACCATCGGACAAATACCTGTGTCACGATTGTTAGAAGACTTAGAAGACACAGAGCTGACATATTCTACAAAACATATAAACGAATAATTATTCGGATGCTAACACTTCAAATGGTCTACTGCGCATGTTTCTACTAACAAAAAATAAATAAAAAAAATAGTGTGCAATCATTACTTGATGTATTGTGAAAATAAAATATCGCCAAAATAAAGCAACAGCCAATATATATCCGTTTACAGCAGCTGAATTAAAGGGAGACACCTAAAATAATATACTGACTTGAATGGATTTCTTTTCTTTCTTTTTTTAAACTATGATTAATGTGATCGTCTGGGAATGGAAATAAAAACTTTAAAAAAATATATCAATTTCAAGTTTGTACTCATGTCATAAGTGCCAGTCACAAAAAAAAATCATCTTAAGTTCCCATTGCGTCTGAGAACGGATGATTTACAAATATAATACAATAAAAGCGCCGATAGCAAATTATAATTATGATTTGTATCAACCAGACAGCAATTTAATATTTTAATTTACTATTGTATTTTAAAAACATGCCTTTAAGTTATGACATTTATGTATTTCTTCCTTTTACAGAAACAATAACAACATCAACGACGACGTCCATGAAAACGACGCTGACGGTGATAATAAATAGATCAAATAGAGGCTCATCCATACAACAATTAAATTACATATCAATGGAAGGGAGGCAACACTGCAAGAATTTCAAGCATAACTCACAGAGTTACATCTCTTCTCATTCCATATTCTGCATATTACAACTAATTCTGGTTGCTTTATAGTGAATAATATCCTAGTTATATTTTCTTACTTAAAACCATAAAATTTAGACCGGATAGCAACAGATTCTTAAAATATAAAATCATTTTCTGGATAAAATTATTTCGCATCATTGAAAAGATGCATTAAAATAAAACATTATTCAAATGTATAACGTCATAATAACATAACGAAATTATAATAAAGAAATAACTTGTTACTAACAATAACCCCGACAATTTAAGTAATGTACTTGTCCCGCTTCCATTTTCGAAACTTTCAACTAAAAGTTTGAGGGAATTCAATATCCAAAGTAAATGACTGTAATTTGTGGTGGCTGATTTGGTACGCTTTTGTGCGTAGCGTTGGTGCTAGTGACAACACGACAAAGCGCCAAACGGCGCTTTGTCGCGCTGTCGTCCTGTCTATAGCGCGGCACGCCAAATGGCGCGTTGTCGTGCGGCGTTTTGTCTCGGTGTCACATTGTCGCTGAATCCAAATTGAAGGATTGGATTATAAGCAAAGCGACAGGGCGACATCGCGACAACGCGTCGCACGACAACGCGCCGTTTGGCGTTCCGTGCTAGAGACAGGACGACAACACAACAGCGCGACAACGCGCCGTTTTGGCGCTATGTCGTGTTGTCAGTGCAACACAAGACAATGTTATACAAGAAAGTACAACACAAGACAATGTTATACAAGAAAGTACAACACAAGACAATGTTATACAAGAAAGTACAACACAAGACAATGTAACACAAGACAGTGCAACACAAGACAATGTTATACAAGAAAGTACAACACAAGACAATGTTATACAAGAAAGTACAACACAAGACAATATAGCACAAGACAATGTAAAACAAGACAATGTAAAACAAGACAGTTCAACAGAAGACAATGCAACTAAAGACAATGCAACACAAGACAGTGCAACACAAGACAGTGTAACACAAGACAATGTAACACAAGACAATGTAAAACAAGACAGTTCAACACAAGACAATGTAAAACAAGACAGTTCAACAGAAGACAATGCAACAAAAGACAATACAACACAAGACAATGCAACACAAGACAATGTAACACAAGACAGTGCAACACAAGACAATGTAAAACAAGACAGTTCAACACAAGACAATGTAAAATAAGACGGAGCAATATAAATTTAGATTTTGATAAATGGTTTGTGTGGTAAAGAATACATACTATATTTTTTTAAAATACCAACTTATTTTGAATAATTTCAATATTTTTTAAATAGCAATTCTGACTTTTCT